ATATTTAAGAGTTTGGTTATATTTAATATAAACCAAGTCCTCCAACTTCTGATGCTCAAGTCTACTTCGCCTCTTGGAATGAATCTATTTGATAATTAACAACAAAACATATTAGTTTGACAATCAGTTATGAAGCTTTATAAATAAAATCATTGAGCATGTACTTACATGCTCAAAAATACTCCAATTGAGCTCACATCCCGAAGAGCTGCAAGTCAGACTCAATACTCTAATGGCAATTTTTTTCAGTGCTTTTGTTTGTGTTTCATACGTCCCCCACCGTTGCACTGTAATACAAAATATAATAACTCAATAATATGACTAGTTAAATAATTGTAATAATAAAAGCTTAAAGGGATCAAATACTTACGAGGAGCACTTTATCCCTTTGTCTTTTGGCTGAATCCATGCCAAAAAGACCCCGAGCTTTCTTATATAGCTCCAATTCATTCATAACCTGCTCCATCTCATCTGTATTTGCAGTTAGCCTCTCGAAGCATTTTAAATAACCATTGACCACTTCTAAATCATCATCCAGCCTTGGATTAGAATAAAAAAATTGAGGGTTAAGATAATGCCCAGCTGCATGCAAAGGATGATGAAGTTGGCAATCCCATCTTCTATCAATGATAGCTAAAATATCTTTATACTTATCTTCTTTTCCAATTCCATGAAATGCATTTTGAATTGCTTCTTTGGCCCTATCCATTGCTTCATAAATATAACTCATTGCTGGCTTTTTTTAATTATCAACTATCCTCAGCACACCCACAAGAGGCCCCACAGCCTTAAGACAAAAAACTACATCATTCCAAAAAGATGTACTAAGTACAATATCAGTTGCCCTTTTCCCCTTAGGGTTTCTGGCAGTCTTAGATTTTGACCACTCATCAGAAGTGAACATCCTTCGGAGGTTGTTTTTCTGCTTATACAACCTCTGCAATGTCAAGAATGTGGTAGCAAACATTGTCACTCCATGCCTCACCAATTCAGATTTGCTTGTGAATTGCCGCATAGTGTTCAATGCCAATGAATGATTATAAATGAAACCTACTAGACTGATAACTCTTTTTTATTGTCCTCTTTACTCTATCAAGCTTTCCAATGTCTTCTAGCATCAAATCTAAGCAGTGTGCAGCACATGGAGTCCAAAACAAATGACGCCTCTTGGCTTGTGAAAATTTCCCTAACATCACAAGCATAAACTTAAATAAGAAAACGAGTCACAAGTAAATTGAAATTGTAAATAATCACTTCAACCCAAAACCTTAAGGTGTTGGGTGAGAGTCTTTAATGGTTTATATTATTCTCTAACACACCCCCTCACGCAAGAGCCCTTTGGGCTTGAAGCGTGGATTATTGTATAGACCCAATTTTTGGTTTACCTTATGCTTATTTAATTCCACAAGTGGAGGGCGGTGAGGATTGAACTTGTGACCTTGTGGTCACTGAAGCTCTGATACCATGTAAAGAACCACTTCAACCCAAAACCTTAAGGTGTTGGGTGAGAGCCTTTTTAATGGTTTATATTATTAACAGTTGAATGAGTTTACTGTCTCTTACCGACCAAAACATAATTGCTTCCATTGTCGGTCACCACTTGAACAACATTTTGTTCACCAATCTCCATCACAAAAGTGTCCAGAAGTTGACATAATTTCTCACCAGTCTTGACATAAGAAGAAGCATCAACACTCTTGACAAACATAGTTCCTGATGGACAATTCACCAAGAAATTGATCAAAGTTCTACTATTCTTATCTGTCCATCCGTCAAACATAATAGAACATCCGTAGTTTACTCTCCCTATCTCATGCTCCTTCAATAATTCCTTGGTGTACTCTAACTCCGTTTGAAGGAGTGTAACTCTACATTCATAATAAGATGGAACCTTCAAATGAGGACCATAGTTCCCTATTGCTTCAACCATCAACCTGAAACTTCTAGAGCGTACAACATTGAAAGGTATCCCATTCGTTACTAAAAACCTCTCAATATATTGAACTGTTCTGGCTCTAGCTTCTTTATCATAAGCATCATTGATGCTTGTTTGCCTTTTCCCCCAACTTGATGCTGTTTTTTGGTTTTTTTAAGAGAAGTAGGTCCATGGGACCTTTCACAATCTTGCTTTTCATGACAGGAACAGGAGATGAATCACTGCCGGATTTACTCCCTTTTTTCCAATTCGAATGTTACAGATTTGTCCCACCTCTTCAAGCTCATCATCATCTTCTTGTAGCTCATATAGGGAAGCATTTTTATTAGCTAGCTTCCTTTCATACGCTTCCTTCAAAGCATTTCTTACTTCTGCGTGGGGGGTCTCTTACATGGCTCTACATCTCCTTTTATCCCCATTTGGTGGTATTTAGCCCTGGTAATTCCACCTATTTTTGTCTTCTGACAATAGTCACATGTCACATTCCTTCTGTTATTGATATCCTTCAAGGAATTCCATTGCCATGCCATATCACGATATGGACCCGGGATTTAACCAAAGCACAAGAAGAAGGAGACTCTTGTGTACTGTCATTGGTTGCCATCACTAGCTACATTTATTATTATAGAGGGGCGGAAAAAAATCAATTACAAGGGTGATGTAAGTCTTGTGGTGCAACTACAGGCAAAAAAAAATGTGTTTAATAATTCACAGTTACAAAATAGTAAAAAAATTATAATTATAACCTCCCTTTTTTTAATTTATAATCTTTTTTTCAAAAAAGATTATTTTGTATTTGAATACAAATTTTAAAATTATTTAAAATAAAAATTTATAGAGAAAAAAAAAGAATAAAAGAAAAAATTAGGAGGGTAGAAAAAAAAATAAGAGAAGAAAAAAAGAATAGAATAAAGTTAAAAAACTTACAGGATGCGTAGAAGCTGCGAACAAAGAGACAAAAAAGGAAGATGCAACTGGGAATCCGTGAAATAGAAAATATCAAATAAAAAGAAACAAGAAAGCTGTCGACTGAATAGATAGGTCTTTGTCATTCGGTGGAGTGTGTCAGTGGTAATTAAAAGAAAAGGAGAGGTCCAAAAGTTAAAAGAGAGGCCCAATGTTCTTTTACTATTAAATAATTAAAAAGACAAAAATATCCAAGTCTTCTGTTTTGCCTTTCTTCTTCGTCGCTTTACATCCGCATTTTTCACCGCTTCAGACACCATTTTTAACAATTATTGCAGCCACTTCAAACGCGATCTATGACTGGTGCGATGCAGTGCGGTTGGACGCAGAGGTCCTCCGCAACCCGCGAACGGCGCGGGTAGCGCCACTTTTGACAAGTATGCTCCAAGCTTCTTTGAGACAGTTGTGTTCCGAACTATCACTTCTAGTTTTGGTGATTCCAATTTATCTTCATCTTCCGAACAAATCTCAGGTTGGTATACCTATAAAAAAGCTTTTAAAAACATCCACCAACTTGCATTTGGATGGAGCTAACTCCAGCATACGTACTAGCTTCGTGCTCGAACCCTGAGTGACTTCACCGCTTCGAACAACTTTGCAGATTCAGGAATTCCCTTTGCTTGGCAGTGTTGTTCAACACTGATAAGCCACCCATATCCTTCTCCTCCCCAAAATCTGGAATCATCTTCCTCTTCTTTTTATTTTTATTTTTTTCTGTTACCAACGTGGTTCAAAGCTACTCGGATCGGATAGCTCTGATACCATTTGATAAGAACCTTGAGATGCACCACCCCAAAAGCTAATTCAAAGGATGGGAGTGCCCAAGGCCTTATAAACCTCACATTAGTTGCCCGTACAACCGATGTAGAATTGCAAGTCTCATACCTTGCAAATGGATCCTAACATTCCAACCACGCTTTGTAGCCCAAGCCCGGGGTTCCAAGTCCAAGGGTCCAACCCCCAGGTTCCAGTTCCAATCTGCGAAACATAGTGGGTGCTCTAATACTAATTGATAGGAACTGGTTTTCATAATGAATAATAAAGGATCTAAACATACTTTTTGGCAGAAGAAGAACTGGATTTTCTAATATATATTGAAGAAGAAACACAATTACAGAAAGGAAATGAGACAGAAACGAAATACAAAAAGAAAGCTACTACAATGTGATAACTACACAAGGGTTCAGCACATTCGAGAGGTGCTGAGGCTCTCCCAAGTTCCAATCCAATTCCATGCTCCCTCTCCTCACGACCTTGTTGTCTTTTAACCACCTAACACTCTCTCATTGCCACCTCATCACTTCTAACAGAATTGGAGCTTCCCTCCAACAACCTCACCTCTAGAATATTCCCTTTATTAGCTGAGTCATCCCCCGTAAATAATACCCTACTACCAACCTTATATACACCTACATGAGTATATATGTAATTATGTATATATTCCTATCACATAATTAAAATCCATAAATGAATTATTTTTTGTAGCTATTTTACGATTAGCAAGTTACTTTCTAAATCAATAACTGCTTTTTCAGAAAACAGCTTCAAAATGTCATTATTGAAGCCTAGTCAATTAATTTACACACAACCTGTGCACGCATGACATACCATTAACATCCATGCAAATTGTGAAATTTTGATGAATGTGCGTTTTTGGAGACAGATGCACACAAAATTTTCCACCCCAAAAGATATGAACAATGTACGTGCGATGCAAATTGGAGGACTTCCTCAGTGAAGAAAGCATGAATGTATCAGGTATTTAAATAATAGAATTTTTATCCATTTATCCAGCTTACAAGCACTGAAACTTCAATAAAGGATCTCTGTGTACAATGTCAGAACAAAACCTCCAACAGCTCTTAAGCAATACTTACTTTAAGAGAATTTCAACACACTATGCATCTGTTTATCAATGCATAAAGGATTATACAATACCATCTGTTGTAGGCATATAATTCTTTTTATTAGATATGTCCATTGCTCATGCCATTCTCAAATTTTGAATTTTTCAAAGCGAAGGTGTCCATAATGTGTCCCTCTTGTCAACACCTCACCATCAACAAACAAAAAATAGTTCAATTCAGAGACAACCTACCTTCAGTCACAGTTGAAGGAATCCCACCAACAAAAATTTTCTTCGTCCTGAAGTCCTTAGAGCCAAGAGCTCCCCTAGGTATTGTCCGCTTAATCTCCACCTACACAATTCCAACAAAGCATTCACTGCATTAGTTTCTTTTTAGTTCTTCAATAAAAGCATGACACATTCTACTTAAAAGTTTAAAATGCAAGTGTTTACTTGTTTGCCATTGATAACATGAGTGTCCTCAATAACTTTATCAACCACAGAGGGATCTGCATAAGTTATAAAGCCGAAACCACGAGGCTGCCCGGTCTTCCGGTCCTTCATTATCACGGAATCCGTAATTTCACCATATTTACCGAAGTGTTTGACAAATTGGACTGCACCAACATCACCAAAACACAGTTACACAAACCCCCACCACAAGAAACCAATGCACAACCACTAGATAAAAGAATTAACAGGAAAATGCACTAACCAATCGTTGTTTCTCTGGCTAAACCACCTATAAATATTTTTCTGCAATTAATGGGGTCGAGTGTAATTAGAACCAAATCTAAGAAATTTATGAAATACAGTTACTACTATTTTTATTTTTTTTTAGTAATGAACTGAGTGTTGGTTTGGTTTAAGGTTCAATTCAGAAACAAAGAAAAGGAGGAATGAGAGAAAAGTGGGAAGTTAAGTTAGTTACCCGGGACTGGCACCGTCACCGGTGAGAGGTTGGGGCTTGTCATCATCTTCGTCTCTGTGGCCAAAGATTCGAACGTCAATGGAATCTCCATCGACGGCTTGGTGATTACCCGGCAACTCCATGGCTTACCAACTCAAAACCCAACGGGGAATAGCTCTTGGAAGCAGAGAGAGAGAGAGAGAGAGAGAGAGAGAGTAAACGAAACCCTTGTTTTTTATTTTTATTTTTTTAAGTTTTAGGTTTCTTTTTTGTGTTTATAAATTCAATGCTATTTTTTTTTTTTTTTTTACAATGCTATTGTTTTTGTTTTAATGTTATTATTTCTTATAGCTATGAATTTAATATTTTAAATGTTTTTTAAATTAAAATTTAACTAAAATCTTATTTTATTAATATGAAGGGTTTAAAGTTTTTCATGTTATAAAAGATAATTTTATTTCTTATACACACTTAAAATTGTGTAACGCATGGCATGTAGAACCATGTGAAAAGAAGAAAGAGAAAAAAAATGAATTCCATATACTTTTACGTGCGTGAAGGAGATAATAATTTTATCTCCTAAAAAATATTAAACCCTAATATGAATCATGAGTAAGTGGTATATTTTCTGGATACTCATGGAAAAAATAAAAAATAAAAACATGTAGAAATATAACCACATATTTTTAGTGTCCATATTTGTAGTGTCTGCTTGAGAATAAAATATAGTCTTATTCATTGTATGGTAAACTAATATCACATGCTAAACTTATCATGTTGGGAACTCGAGTTAGGAATGTTGGAATGGATATGATAAAATAATAAATACCACATCCTCCTCAACCCAAACATAGTCTTATACACTTCTCCTACGAACTTTGTTAGGCAAATGAAAATCAACCCTTGCCACCAGCCAGCTACCATTGTTAATGTCACCAGCTATCGGCCACCTCTCTCACCTAAGAGCACTACCGTTACCCATCAGTCATCACCTTGAGCTATCAATCACCACCATTGGCACCAGCAATCGACATCCCCAACCAATAAACATCACCACCATTGTCTTCGATCAGCCCTCCACAATTGCCATCATTCACCACTTGGGCCGCCACTACCACCCACTTCCACTGGCCACCACTGCACCAACCAGCCACCACCTCAGGCCACTGCCACTATAACATCCTTCGATTATTAGTCGAAGAATGTTACTTATATATTTTTGAACTCTAATTGTATACGTATATTATACAAAAGACTTGGAACATAAGTCTTGCTAAAATTGAATTTATTCCAAAATATAAAAATCCAATAAATTAAACCATCATAGGATATTAAGTAACCATTACAAAATACAAATACTATAACCAAAATATAATTATGATCTGATACATAACTTCGTAACTAAATCAAAATGTAGACTTTATTTGCTAATTATAACACCTCATAGATTTGAAGCGCATAATTATAGTTAAAATAAGGATTAAAAGGTATGATTTGTGAGAACCATGAGTATAACACCTCATAGTTTTGAAGCACTTAATTACAATTAAAATATGGATTAAATGGTAGATTAGTGAAAATCCTAAATTCGAAGTCAAAACAAGTAAAAAGGGTAAAACGGTAAATTGACAAACACGTAACCCTAGGAAATGAAATGTGAGTAGAAGGTCTCAAATGAAAAAACTAACCCTAGAAATGGATTCAGAACAAAAAATTGAATGGTTAGGCAAGTTCTAGAAAATTGATGAATAGTGTTTTTACCTAGTAAAAATACAGCGGTACAGTTGCACCAAAAAGTGTGTCAAATGAATTTTGAGTTCTAGGCTTCAAAATAAGTTGGAAAAGGTATATGGACTAAGATTTATAATTTTGATGAAATTTGATTGAAATTAGGATTTTTGGATAAGCGTGCCCACAGTGCACATAACAGCTTAAAACTGTGATTTCGCCGAATAACCGAAAAACTCTGGATTCTTCTACTCAAGGGCAATTAAAGGACATTGGTGAAAGTTAAAATTTGAAGTTTCTAAATAGTCTAAGAATTAATTGAAATTTAGTAGTTTAAGCAAGAGATTTATAATTTGAATTGCACGAGGTAGCAGTGGGACCCACCCCACTTAAGTTATAACATGACAACTAAGCAAGGATCACTATTCATGTTCTTTCTTCCCTCCTCACCTTGCAACCCCCCCCCCCCCCCCATTAGAGTGCAAAATTTCTCCTTTGATTTCTCACTCAAATTCTCACCAAAAACCACAAAGTCCTACATCAAACTTCAAGTAAACAATCACCAAACTCAACCATGCTACTCTCAAGCCTTGAAACTAACTAGTTTGGGATAAAAGTGAGACCCATGCCCACGGTTTTGTGAAGAAAAAGGGTGTTCTTAGTGTTGTTTGATTAAGTCATTGTTTGGGTATTGTGTGGAGGAGTCTTAGGCCTTAATCATTGGTAAGTTTCAATACTTTTCATTGGATAATTTGGTAGATTGATTTCATGAACCCTAAGCTATGCGTATGTGGATTGATGTAATTGGAGAACTCAAATTGAAAATGTGTATTCGATAAATGTGTCTTAGAATGTTGTTTTATGATGATTGATCTTATAAAAAGTATTGGGGAAAAATATTATAACTTTGGCAAATTTTGTGGTTGGTATGCATGACTTTGTGAATGAAGATTGTGGTGTGATTGTATAGTTGAGTTGTGGAGTAGTTGTATGGGTTAATTATAGGTTGTATGATTTGTTTGAAGTGTGAAATTGAATTGAATACCCCTTGGTATATGGACATGCATAATTCGGCCAAGTGAGGAAAAATGGGGAAGGATGTTGTAAAATTAATATAGTTGGTGTTGTGAGAATTTGAACCAAGTTTAAATAGGTTATGGTTTGGTGTGATGCATGTGAATTGGAAGCAAAATCATTGGAAGTGTATGGATTATGATTTCGGCCTAAGAGAGGAATTTTAGGGGAAATGGTGTTGAGTTATAATTGAATGGAATTAAGAACTTGAATTGGTGTTGTGGTGGGCTTAGGAAGCCATAGGAACATTGTAATAAAATTAACAACATGAATTGGTATTTTTGTCTTAATGGCCGAAATGGGTATAGTGTGTGTGGGAGTTCTTTGTGTTGTAATTCAACTTGATGCACCATTGAATTGATGATCCTATGTGTGATCGTTGTAGGTTGCCTTCCACAGACATGATCTGTGAGGATTAAGCTTGGTGGATTGCCTTTGGTCCTTGACCAAAAGGATTGTGGTAAGTATTTATGTCAATTTGCATGAGTACTTGAATGACCAAGTGAGTGGTCTTTATGTGGTTCTAATGAACGTGAGAATGACATTGTGTAGGCATTTCTGGGTGGAAGGAGTTATTGTGTAACTTGCATTGGAACTACCTAGCTTAGGAGCTTCAATAAGGTAATCTCTTGGTACTGGGGTTAATCCCCGTGTGTGCTCCACCATGTCCATTGGGGTAGTGGTTGGAGGTATGTTGTAACGCCTGGCCGCTTCAAGAATCAATGACTATCCCCACATACTAACACCAGACTTTTCAGTGTGCTTTTTCCTCACTCGCACACTTTTTGGGAAAACTTCCCAAGAGGTCACCCATCCCAGAATTGCTCCAAGTCAAGCACGCTTAACTATGGAGTTCTTCCGTTCTGGGCTACCGAAAAGAAGATGCATCTTGTTAGTATAGGTAGTACCAATTAATTCTTATAAGTCATTCCCAACTGTATTGTCCCATACCAGCTCAGTCTCTGGAATCCCTCTCTTTCGGGTGTTGATTCGATTCATTCATGTACCCCCGTCCCTAGAAGCCTGCCAGGAGCCGCTCCTTGTTTGGGCCCTTTCACACCATACCCTTTCGCACCGGCGATCACTCCCCGCCCTCGTCAGCGCCCGGGATGTTACATGACCACCAGCTTCCGCCTGGTTCGTCCTCGAACCACACCGTACTGGAAGAGAGGCCCTGCTCTGATACCACTTGAACGCCTGGCCGCTTCAAGAATCAATGACTATCCCCACATACTAACACCAGACTTTTCAGTGTGCTTTTTCCTCACTCGCACACTTCTTGGGAAAACTTCCCAAGAGGTCACCCATCCCAGAATTGCTCCAAGTCAAGCACGCTTAACTATGGAGTTCTTCCGTTCTGGGCTACCGAAAAGAAGATGCATCTTGTTAGTATAGGTAGTACCAATTAATTCTTATAAGTCATTCCCAACTGTATTGTCCCATACCAGCTCAGTCTCTGGAATTCCTCTCTTTCGGGTGTTGATTCGATTCATTCATGTACCCCCGTCCCTAGAAGCCTGCTAGGAGCCGCTCCTTGTTTGGGCCCTTTCGCACCATGCCCTTTCGCACCGGCGATCACTCCCCGCCCTCGTCAGCGCCTGGGATGTTACATGGGGGAGGATGTAATGTCCCACATCGGTTGGAGAGGGGAACGAAGCATGGCTTATAAGGGTGTGGATACCTCTTCTAGTGTGAGGCCTTTTGTGGGGTGTCCCAAGAAACAAAATCGTGATCTCGACGGTACTTGGGCGCGGGGCAAAGCGAACAATATCATGCTACAGGGTTTGAGGCTGTTACATTTGGTATCAGAGCCTGGCCCTGGACCGGTGTGTACAGCGAGGACGCTGTATTCCCAGTGGGGGAGGATGTAATGTCCCACATCGGTTGGAGAGGGGAACGAAGCATGCCTTATAAGGGTGTGGATACCTCTTCTAGTGTGAGGCCTTTTGTGGGGTGTCCCAAGAAACAAAACCGTGAGCTTGACGGTGCTTGGTGCTTGTGCGGGGGGCAAAGCGGACAATATCATGCTACAGGGTTTGGGGCTGTTACATATGCTCATGCATATGTATATATATTGGGTACATAGGATGTAACATATCTCTGGCCAGTAGATAGATTGCCTTATGGCGTTACGGACTTTCACGGGATAGGTCTCCGTGAGGGAGTTCTAGTTGGCCTGGGGCCATAGAGTTCTAATCCGTTGAGGAGCAATCTAGGAATGTCTCGGGTGTATTGGATGGAGGGTGCCTTGGATGATGTTCTGGGAACACATTCTTGGATGAGAGCCTGTAGGCTATATGCCAAGGCCAATAGGCCGGATGTTGCGTGGTTTTGACTATGACCATTCCAGCTTCATCATATGTTTTCTCCCTAAGCATCCCTACTTCTCTAAATCCCGTGCTATATCCCTTTTTGGTT